TGATGTTTATATATTTATCTATTTCTACTGAATTTTTTCACACTGCTTATGTAAATAATGATTGTTTTGCATTCTTCTTTGTAAGTGGAGAGAATTGATGGACTGTTGGTTTGACCAGTGTGGTTGGAGAGGTGGCAATTTCACCCTCCAATCCACTGTCACTTTTGCTATTCTATATATAGTGGAGTCAGAAAGTAAAATCCTCTCTTTGGATTCTTTTATTTCCCCTTTTACATCTAGCACCCATGTGTGAGTTATTTCGTGGTGTAGTGTGACAGGTGTGTGTGCTTTTTCCTTTTCATGAACAAGACAGAATGCTGGGGTACCTTCCTTCAGCTTTACTGCAGCATCAGCCTCATTGCGTGGTTGAGACAATAGGAAGATGGCAAAGCCAGCAGCAGCCAAAGATTTCTTTGTTACAGAGCATCTTAAAGACTTTCTAGCCAGTAACATATTGCTAAAGCTCACAGACAGTTGTGCTAACCAATTACACATAAAAGTACACATCCACTTACTTCACACCATGTTTACTTGTATGCTTTCTGTTAACAATACTCAATACTTCATTATTAGGCTTAAAACCTTCTAGTATCTTGCTAAACATATCTTTCTCCAATCTTAAGGTCTATCTTAACCAAACCTAAGAGTTCAACTACTGTTTCATGTCCTTTTGTAACTTTTTCTACCTTCAGACTTTACAACTGCAGCTAATTTGGAGTTTCTCTGCTCTTTCTGTTTCTAAGACCTTTCCAACTTCCTAAAAATCTTCTTACCTCTATTATTTCCCACATTAGAGTTCCTGTGCAGAAGCCAGATTCCTTCATGGCATCTGGGCACCCTTGGCTTGCCTGGGACTCCTGAGGAGGGACTCTCCTTCTGCACGTGGGAGTCCCCAGTGCCACTCACTTGTGACATCTCTGCAGGACTCTGGGCTGTTGCATGAACTGCTGGGATTTGAACCAGACCTCTGCCCTCCCTCCCCGGCTTAGAAGATCCCTAAAGAGCAGCTTTGACTGCTGGCTGTGACCTCTGGTGCCTGGCTGGGGGGTGACCAGGAGGACACAGCGGCCTCCCTGTGCAGCCATCCCCAGCACTGCTGTGTAAAATAGAAAGTGAAATCAATGTTTTATCCTTTTCATCCCCTGTGCCTGCCTGGGGAGCATTTGAGCAGGGTGAAGGCACAGTGTTCTTGCCTCCACACTGTGTGGTGTGGAGCAGGTTTGGGTTTTCAGGAGGGCATGTCCTTGTGCACAGCCAGCAGAGCCACCCTGGAGAGCCCTGCCTCCCTCTTCCAACAGGAGGATGGATGAGCAGTGGTGGTTTTGAGCCAGCCATGCAGAGCTGGGTGGTGCTGAGCAAAGCTCCATGACCTTGAGGGGTTTTGCAAAGGTCTGGTCCCAAAGAGAGACTTGGCAGTGAGCAGCTCCCAGCCCAGACATGATGGTGCTGGGCTGTTGCAGAGGTTGCATCTGATAGGAAGCGCTTGGAAATCTCATTTTAGGGGATTTTGGGCTTTCCCTGCCCAGAAGTCGCTGCCTTCAGCAGTGGTGGATTGAGCCAGAGATGTGTGAATGGGTTGGAGCTGGCTGAAGGAAGGACGTGCCAAAGGCAGTGCAGGTTCAGCCCCACGGGCACCTCCAGGGGAAGAAGGAAGGCTGGTGCTCAACACCTTCAGCACCTTCCGTGCCCAGCTGCCTCCAACACCAGCCAGACAATGGATGGATGCTGCTGGTGGGGCTGGGAGAGCCCTGCTCGTGCCCAAAACCCCCTGGAAAATACTCCAAGGGGACAACCCTGCAGCGTGGCCAGCCCTGCTCAGGGCAGGGACACCTTGTCTGGGGCTCTCAGGGATGTGAGGGGACCTGGAGCCTTTGGGGACACTGAGGATTAGCCACTACTGCCCATGTGGGACCCTGGGATGGGGTGTGGGGCCCTAGAGCCCTGCTTTGCCTTCAGCTGCTGTTTTTGTGAGGAATACAGACACTTCCCTGCAGGAAGCTGGGAGGAGGAGCAGAGGCTGTTTACTTTCCTTTCCTGGCTCTGTGCAGGACACACTATTTATAAGTTTTTTTCTCTTTTTTTGTGAGAGCTGATGTGCTTCCTGAAGGGCCTTCTCTCTTCTCATGCAAGGAGGAGAGAGGCAGTGCTGAGCAGGGAACTCCAGCCTCTGAGGGCCAGCATTGCTGAAGGTGACATTCCTGAGGATCATCGTGTTCATAGCAGTGTGTTGCTTTGATTTTTAAAAGTGTTAAGTTTTCTTTTATAGTTCTTTTGAAAGTTTTAAAGCTTTCATAACATTTCTTTAGCCTTCTGATAATGTTTACATATTTGAGAGTCAGAGTTCCCACTCAATTTCATGTATAAATAGAATAGCTTATATATTTCTCTGTAGGTAGAGAGAAATGATTAATTGATCTTTGGACCAGTGTGGTTGGAGAGGTGGTGGTAATTCCATCCTCCAATCCACGGTCATATTTAGAATTCTGTAAATACCAGATGTTTGAATATAACTAGGTCTTTTTCTCTTTTGAACTTACAAACTCCTGTGCACTCATTTTGTGTCCAATAGCAACATCAGTGAGGCTCTGTCTCAGAGGTGGGAACACAAACCCTCGTGGTCACAGTCCTTCTCCTTTCTCCTGCCTGGGATCTCTGACCTTCTCCAGACCACGCTGAGCTCAGGGCAGTGGCCAAATATGCCAGCAGGACAAGCTGGGTACTGAAACCCCTGTGAAGCCCTGAGATGGTCACCCCATCCTGCAGAGAGGGGAGAGAAAGCTCCTGGGCTGTCCCCAGGCAGCTCAGTGACCCTGCTGGGGAGGGAATGCTGCTGGCACCTGAGGCTCCTCATCATTTTGCTGTCAGGAACTCTGCTGAGCCGTTTCTGCCCCTCTCTGGGATGAAGTTTCCCTGCCCAGCCCCTCAGTGCCCCTTCCTGCCCTCTGGCACTGCAGCACCAGGGAGGACTTTGGTTGTCCTGAGACTGTAATCGTGGTTCTGCAGCTCTGCCTGGGGCTTTCTGAACCCCTTTGTGTCTGGGCTTTGACCTTTTTCTCTTTTCTGCAACAGGGCCCTGAAGGACCTGGAAAAAAGCCATTTTTGGTTGTGGTAATTCAGTCCAGCCCTTTGATAAGGGCAGGGCCTGGCTGTGCTCCAGAAAGACCACATGGGTGGCATTGGGCAGGTTTACACTGGGCTTGGGGCACTTTGTGGGGTTTAAAGTCCAAAGAAAGGGGCCATGTAGGTCAGCATTGCAATCGGGTTACTCACCATTCCTTTGGGAAGGGGCAGCAGGGCTCCGAGGAGTGGAGATGATGGATGTGCCTCATGTGAGGAACCCTTGTAGGTCAGCAGGGCTGTTTGCATCCAAAGCTCATTAACAGGTCAGAAAGAAATCCCCAAACCACTTGGTACTGAGGGATCTCCAGGACAACGCTCATTAAGGAAAGACTTGTCAGCATTTCCTTTGTTGCCGGGTTCCTTGAGAGCATTTACCCTGTTCCTCAAGACACATCTCTCAGGAGGTTAGAGAGCTGCTTCTTCCAGGGAAGAGGTGGGGGCTGAGCTGGCTGGAGGAGTGACAGGCAGGTTTGAAGAGCCTGATGTGGACAGAAGTGTGATTCCATCCCTCAGGGAGCTGCCAGTGTCCTCTGCTGCTCTTGCCCACCCAGCTTTGCTCAAGGCCAGGCAAGGGCTCCCTGTCGGGTCGTCCCTTCCGCTCTCTTTGTTCCCAGCAAAATGCAAGCTGGGCTTGGCTGCTGCATTGTTCTAAACGTGGGGGTTTTGGGAAAAAAAAACAGCTAAAATGTTAGTTTCTGGATAAAGTGTGTGATGGAGAAGGGAAACTGTAGAAAATCTGTGCTGGAGGGTCAGAGCTCCAGCTTGGGGTTTGAGACCTGAGAGTTTGAACATGTTGAAAGAGCTTTCCAGTGTGGGGCTTTTTTGGAATTAATTATTCTGGGATGCTGAGAGCTGTGACTTGGACACAGACCTGCAGTGCATGAGCTGTGCTAAGTGCAGACTGCAGGGCAGGGACTGCTGCAGGGAGCAGCACCTACTGTCTCAAGCCCCTCACCAGCGTGATGTCCTGTAGGATGTCAAGCCTAGGTTTTTAAAGGCTAAATCTCACTGTTGCTATTCTGTTGATGTAAAGGATGGGTGGACTGGTTGCTGATGTTTGTTTTGGCCATTAGCAGTGTGGCTGTCACCACACCAGCTCAGCCTTGCCTCATGGAGGCTCTCTTGGGATCTCAAGGCTGTGCCTTATCCTGCCCTGACCCTGTGCCTGCCTGGGGGTTCAGGGGGGACCAGAGGGTTTTTACAGCCTGTGGCTTTTCGATGGGATCCAGCAGTGGTTCCCTTTCTGTGGAGTTCAGCCTTTAGTTTCTACCTGGCTGGGTCCTGTAAGGAGCAGGGATCAGCTGTCCCTTTCCTTGTATGGGGGTCTCAAGTTCATGTGCTCAAAACACTTCAGTCTTTGGTTCATGTGGTCTCTAGGTTTGATTTTAATGATATGAGTGTCTGTGGCTGCCAGCTTTGGTTTCTTGCTGCATTTGTATGGATTTGGTGCTCTCCTGGGATTGTTTTCCTGTTCCCAACTTGGATTTGGCTGGCAGTGCTCACAGGAAAGCCTGTGTTTATCTGTGCATCCTTTGGATGTGAGAGGGAAAGCGAGGTGTTGGAAGCTGGATCTCTGTCTCCCCCCAAAGCCAGTGCCCTCTCTGCTCTGCCGTACCATGGTGGGACCCTCTGCTCCCCTCTGAGTGTGGGATGCAGGCAGTGTGGGGATGATTTCTGCCATGGAGCTGAATTTCCTGTCCCTGATTTATTACTGGGTTTTTAACTTGTCTGAAGAGGCATGGCCTTTTATCCCCAGCTGCTTAAACTGATTGTGAGTCCTGGGATGAAGGAGCAGAAATGGAGTTAGGAGCCTTGCGCAGTGTCCATAGACCCTCAGGTGGATGGTAACTAAATCCTGAACTACTTTTGATGTTTTTCAGCTCTGAAAAGATCCTTTGAGGTCGAGGAGGTAGATCAGTCTTCAAATTCCTCCACCCCACAAAGACGGGCCCCGAACACCCTCCTCAGGTCCACCGTGTCCAGCTCCACGCAGAAGTTCCAGGAACTCGGCGCCAGGAATTCGGAGCCGTCCGCCCGCCACGCGGAGCCCACAGTGCAAAGATCCCCCAAGCCCCCTCTGAGGAGAGTGGAGCTCTCTGGACCCAAACTGCCCGAGCCGGTGTCCAGAAGAACAGAAATCTCCATTGACATCTCATCCAAGCAGGTGGAGAACTCCACCTCGGGCTTGTCGCGCTTCGGCCTCAAGCGAGCCGATGTGGGGCACAAACCCCCCGAGCCCACGGCCAGGAGGACCGAGATCACCCTGGGCAAGCCCCAGGAGCCGGGGCTGCGGCGGGCCGAGGCGCCGGCCTCCAAGATCCCCGAGCTGCCGCCGCGCCGCCCGGACAACCAGGGGGCCAGAGCCGCCGAGAGCCCGGCCACGAGGCCGGCCGAGAGCTGCGAGCCTGCCCTGCCCGCCCAGCCCCAGCTGCCAGAGCCAAAGCTGCAGGGCTCGGTGCCCACGGAGAGCCCGGCCAAGAGGGAGGAAGGTGAGTGCAGCCCTGCCGCAGGGGCTGCGTGCTGCTCTTGCAGCTCCTCTGGTGATGCTGTGCTCAGAGGTGTCTGCACGCAGAGCTGTTCCCCTTGGGCTTATCCTGCCTGAATGAGCTGTCGAGTTCAATAAGAAATCCTGTCGAGTCTAGAAGGAAAGAGAAAAGGAAATGCCTGTGCTGGCAGAGCAGGTCTGAGCAGTGCTGTGGTGCCAGTGTGGCAGGAGCTGCTGGTTCGTCCCTGTGAGGAGAGGAGCAGGGAATCAGTGTGGGAGCAGCAGGGCTTCATCCAGAGACATCCCCCTGCCCTGTGCAATGGAGAGATCTCGTGGGATCCTCAGCTGGATGAGGGACAGGGGAATCCTCAGGAAAAGCCACATCAAATCTGTCATGGGTGATCCTGCCACATCCCCACTTCCACTGTGCCTCCCGAGGTGCTGGGAAATGCCAGCTCTGCCAGCTCAGGCCCTGTGTGCAGACCCACAGGGCCCTGGAAAGGCTCTGAGGTGTGGGAGAGGTGCTGGCTCTGGAAGTGTTGTTGGGATATCGTTGTTTGGTGGTGTTGTTTATGGCTGTGGGGCAGGAACCGCCTCTTCATTAGCAGAAGTCAGGGTTTTTGACCTTGGAGACAAAGTCTAATAACATCATGGACCAGAGCCACTATTAAACTAGAGACCTGGCTTATATTAGCTCTATCTTGTTTTCAATTAATTCCATATTAAAGCCAGCTTCCCTCCCTTGCCAGCTGTCATTTGTTCTCCAGAATGTTTTGGAGATTTTCCTTTCAGACCTTTTAATTACTTTTCCATTCCCCATCGCCCATGAGCTCTCTCCTGCGAGGGACCCCGTGGTCAGGGGGAGGGCACCTCCTCCCTCCCCACCCTGTGCCTCTCCCTGGAGGCTGTGGGATGGGCTGGGGTGGCTGAGCCAGGAGCTGGGAGGTCCATGCCTGGCCCTGGAGCTGGACCAGGGGTTGCATCCCCTCTCCTGGGTGCAGCCCTGTGCTCACACTGACGTGCAGAGAGGCCAGGCTGCGGTGTGTGCTGGTGGACAACCAAGTCAGGAGTCAGCAGGGGAGCTGATGTCAAACCTGCAGGACTCAGGAGGGTTTTTTCTTACTGTGTGTGGTGTAGGCATGGCTTTTCTGAGCTGGGTTTTTTTACAGGTTGGGCCATCTCCAGCTGGGCACAGCTGAGCTCTGAGCCCCAGCCCAAGGATGGGGATTTTGTGACCCCCAGCTCTGTCCCCAGCTGCTGTGTGTGGTGCCCTGGAGGCCCATCCTGCCCTGTGGGTGGGTGCTCAGCCTCATCCTGCTGGCTCGGGCTGCTCTGAGAGCCCCAAGCCCTGAACCCCACGAGTGTTTGGCACTTTAAGAGCAGAAGACTGGCTGAGCTGCTGAATGCTCCAGCTGCCCGGGGCAGGGAGAGAGGGGGGACAGCTGCTGGGACGAGTGTCACCCCTGAGCCCAGCTGTCTGCAGTCTGCCTTCAGCACGAGCCAGCCTGGCTCTGCTACAAAAGGGCCTTTCAGTCCAAAAGTCTCCAAGAATCCTCACAGAATGGTTTGGCTTGGAAGGCACCCTAAAGATCATCGAGGTCCAACCCCACAGCCACAAAGACATAGTTGGAGGGGTCATGAAAGCTCTGTCTCCTTTTCCCTGTGTGTCAGCACAAGGGAGCAGCCCAGGGTCACTGCCAGAGCATGTCCCCTTCCTGACCACCTCCTCTTCCACTGCCATGCCTTCAGGTTGCCCTGGTTAGCTCTCACCCCATTTTGGGACCCCATTTTGGGCTGTTCCTCCCCTTGGTCCACAACACCCACCCTCAAGTGATGCTGGGCAGGTGCATGGCCTCTCTCCTTGTTGCTGGTGCAAGAACACAGAGAGATCT